TTGTAAATATTATTGCTCATCAACATCGAGTGATTTCATCGATAAATGAATGAGAAAGCATTGTAGAACTCGATATTATTAATCAATCCGAGGAAAAAATATATAAGATTAAATATTTTCCTAAACTTTGACATTGACGAGTCAATATTGAATTGAACTTCTTCTTGTTATAAATTGTTAAAATTAAAAAAATTTCAGAATTTTTTGTAATCGAACATTCTTTCGACTAACAAGATTATTATTAATTAAAAATATTAATGATGTTAATATTGCTGATAAATTGTATATTTGATCATAAATAATTTGTGTGTTTAAAAGATGATGCAGTTTACTGCATACGCAAATATTGTGCACACACTACTATTCAAAAGTTTGAAAGCAATCATATTTTTGCACGAAACAAAATATCTTTTCTACATATTGATATAAAGTAATCACATGTATATACTGATTTAAACAAGAAAGAAATAATAGATAGAATGTTCAATACGTTTAGAAGTAATAAAAAATAAAGACGATTATCCTGATGGAATAAAAATTAATTTTGATTATATCATTTAAGATCTTGTTATTTATCCCATTATATTTTCATTATTTTCATTATTTATATATTTAGCAAATTTCGATTAATAAATAAATTTAATATGCATCTTTGGATGTTTTTACTTGAAATTTCTTATTACTTTCAAACTTTTGAATATTAATACATGTCTAGTTTGAATGTTTTCGACAAGAACAGGTTTAAGAATGGTGCATACAATGGCTGGCGAAAGTATTTGAATATTATGTTACAGGATAATTACACGTGGGATATTTTTTTTTGCCAAAGTGAAATCTTTTTTTAAGGGTGTGAAATCAATCCAACCATATTTTATTTCAACATGTTTTCATATTTTGAATATATATTTTTCCTTGGTAATTCTTCTTACAATAGAAAAATAAAAAAAGTATTAAATTTAAGCTTGTATAAATTAAAAATTTTACCAAACAAAAGTACCAAACAAGAAATTTTGAATTTAATATAATGTAAAAAATAATTGCTTTATATAAGAAATAAGGGAATAAAAAATTTAATCAACGATTAAAAACAAGAACAAATATTATGAGTCATTGTACATGCAATAAAAAAGATTATTGACAATAACAGTGTTAACAAATATTATTGATAATAATCCATGATGTACAGCTATGAAAATAAGCTTAAAAAGAAAGTATGCCATTGTATGATTATTTGTCACTTGGCTCAAATAGGAAAGGTAAAGAAAATAAAGTAATGGATTCCTCGCGAATTGAGCAATACAGAGACGCTTATAACGACTTATAGCTACCAAAATAAACGAAGAGGTAAGTTTTAAAACATAGTTATACAGTGAAAAGTGTATCTTCATCTTTAATCGAATAATATCCTACTTAACAACCGTGTTTAAAAGTGATATATTTTAAATTTTGTATCTTTTAAATTTCAGTGAAAAAAAAAAAAAATAAGAAATTTTTATACATTTCATTTCTAAACAATAATTTACTTTACTTTGCTATTGTAAAAAGAATTATAAAAAATTAGAATTAAAACCAGTCTTGTTGCATGGAAATGCAAGAGTTCTTATGAAAATAGCCATATAAAAACGTGAAGGGTTACTATACATGAAATCTTGCCACATCGCCTCAATTCTTGCGATACCATGTGTTTGCCAAGCAGATTTTTATTTCTTCAAGTATCTTTCAATTTAAAGTAAACTACGTATGTTTAATTAAGAAATTAAATTTCTTTACTTCTTCGATAGTGATCGAAGAATCATCGAAAAAATAGTTTAAACGTTGATCGAATATCTAAGAGTGAGACATTTTTATAAAATATAAAAAAAAAATTAAAAAAAAACACATTTCATATCAATGATATATTTTCACATAATTGATCTTCTTAATAAGTAAAAAGTCGAGAATGGGCGAAAAAAAATTTCTTTCCAATATTGGGATTGCAACATTGTCAGAAGATCTTTCTGTGGAAAGTGAGATCTAAAGAAGCAATCTTCTTAAACAAGGAATCTTAGAAATTCTTTGTTTGTGTTAGTATCTGTTTACCAATTCTAACAATAAGTCAGAAAATTGGCGAATACATTTTACTTTCTCCGTTGGGATCCATTGGTCGTCGAAGATCGAGCAGAGAAAGTATGCGATAATTAATAGCAAACACCTATGATTTAATAACAAATGCAATACGCACAGAATTTCCTGTTTTTATCGTGTTCTCTCGTCTTGGCCTTGATTCCTTTTTTTTTCTTTTTTTTTTTCAAATTCCTAACAATTTATTTCGAATAATAACTCGAATACTATAAATTTAATTTATAATAATTTTTCTTGAGAAGAATATTTCGTGTGATTTTAATTTTATAAAAATGGAACGTTAAATTTAAATTTATCAAAAAGGATGCAATTTTTGTTTAAAAAATTTTATTGTACGTATAAAACGTTTCCAAGATTATTAAGAAAAATATGTTTTTGATTGTCGAAAGAAAAATCGAGTATCTTTTTTGAAAATTATATTGTCAAGAAAAAATTTAATCAAATTAATTTCTCTTGTAATTTTTATCAAATCAAATTATATGTAATTATGTGTCTAACGCATTAAACAGAGAGAAAATAAATTAATTATGTTTGCAGTTTCAGTAAGCTTGATGTTATTTATATTTCTAGATCATTCAAGTAGGACAAGTATCGTTTATTAAAGCGTTTATTTTCCTTCTTCTGTTTCAATATTTGACATTAGCTCTGAATAAACTTACGAAACGCTTTAAAGGAAGCATTTGCAAATACATAACTCTTACTCCAAAGAAAGGAGCCCCTCAATGGGGTCGTTTTATCGATCGCCCCAGATATCGATAAACTCTGATTTATTTCAGATTTCCGATGTTGAATGCAAATATCGTCAGATCTTCAAAGTTATTGATAGAGGTATTGCCAAAGAACACTCCAATTATAAAGCAGCTTGCCTGTATAGTGTCTTCAATGGAACTTCTGTTAGTATAATCGATAAAATACCTCGGATATTTTTCGAAACGAAAATTATAACCTAGATAAGAGGAAAACTTAACCTCTTCAAATTTATCGTAATCGTAAGTAATATTTTATTATAAATGCTTTTCATTTCATTAATTAAATAAAATATATTTAAAATTACGTGGGAATACTTTTCTTTTTAATTAATCAATTAATTGATAAACATATATCTAATCTCTGAGTTAAAAAGTTCAAGTTGATTTGAAGCAACATTTAGTTCTTCCAATTCTTCCATTCTTCAAAGTATTCAAGTATTTTTGGATCATTGTAATCATTGTTTTATTTAAATAACGTCCATAAACATGATGATAAAGATATATGTATATATATATATATATATTTTCAACAATTTATTTCAACAATTCCAATAAATCCTCTTCATTGACGTTCGTTTCGAATATTTCAGAAAAAATTTGCCGTTATAAATTCACAAGATTCCAAAATGCTAATGACACGCATTAATCTTGCACAGAATGAGGCTTTGGCTTCGCTAGTTTTACATAAGTAATGACAGTCGATCTATAGTCAGACGTTCGATTGGAGAACTTACCATAATCCTCGCGCAAATGTTATTTCGGTTTTCTTAACGATGTTGAAAGAAAAAGAAAAAGGAAAAAAAAAGAAAGAAAGAAATCTAGCATTACTGGAATACGTTACCTTCACCTTCATGTTATTCTTATACGCACAGAGAAAGAAAAAAAAGCATTGCATGATCCAGTTATTAAGATAAAAATCGTCACGAGAATTTCGTGAAATAGCTGTAATCTCGTTCTATAGAATTAAGTGAAAATGAGTTGCGTAAAAGGTGCGAAGGTACAGTGGCATTTGTGAAAACGATTATGGCACGATTTTCAAGAAATTTAAGATTTATTTTTTTTATGTATATATATCTTAATCGTATATATTTATTCATGAAATTGTCAAGTATTTTTATTCAAAAAGTGGGGGAGAAAGAAAGAGAGAAAGAATGAGAATGATAATGTAAGTCATATAAAAATTATTTTGACAAATTTATATCTATTTACGTGTCGACGGTTTAAAAAGACAATAATTTTTGTATATTTTTTAGTTTTAATTTCAAATTTATTTCGTATTTTTAAATAATCTTAATAATTTATATTACATTGCTTAAGTGGTTTAGGATTTTTAGGAAAGAAATTAGCGTCTAGATTTTTTCAATCCCATCCTTTTCTTCGAAACCAGTCACAGCAATGATTAAAGTTTCAAGAATTAATAATTGCGTGGAAGAAATTATATAATTTAGCTAAAATTTAAAAAAAAAAGAACAATATTATATTCTACGTAAATTATAATCAAATTGTATTTCATCCATTTTGTCTTCTAAATATCGAAATCTACATATATGAAAATCTTAAAGTCATTTGTACAAATATCGTTCACTTATGAATACCGCTCGCGAAAATTTTTCTTACACTTTTATCCGCTACGATTCTCCAAAACTTACACATTCAACCCCTTCCTCGCCATAATAATAAACCAATAAAGGTGAAACTGGCTTGACTATCGACCATATACAATTTTAACCACGAGAATCGGTGGATCGTTTCCAAGACCATCGAATTCGATCGGTCGCTCGAGATTGGCGAGTTTCATAATCACGGTATAAGGTCGACGCGAGGGAAGTCGTGGCGGTGTCGTGCACCCGCGGATGCACCGGCGTGCTCCCCGCGAGGGAGGAGAGGCGCGTAGGCGTGGTGTGAAGGGGTGGAGGGCGTGGTTAGGCGCGATCAATAAAACCACCCCCGCCATCCTCGCCGTTCGAGGTGAGCGGAGCACCTACGAAAAGTGGTTTCGTGGAGGTGGTAGCGGAGGTGGCGAGGATATGAAAAAGGGTACGTGGGGGGTGCATCGACTCTGCCAAACCACATCGATCCCTCCGGCGTCCTTCCTCCTCTTCGCTCTCTCTCTCTCTTTCTCTCTCTTCTGATTCTCTCTCCTCTTGCTCTCATCTCGTTGAAAGTACCATGGCCTCTGAAATTACGCAGGAGACTTCATTCGTGGCACGCAGCCACGTGAACGTCCGCACACGCAACCGTTCTCCCGTACACTTTGGTCTCGTTTACTACTTTGTTTTCCGTGTCTGGTTCGAAGGTTTGCTCGAAGATTCGTGGGATTCGTCTTTCTTTTTTCTCTTCTTGTTTTCGAGATCGATACGTATTTTTAATCATGATAATCGGAAAGTTTGGAATCGAGTTTGGAAAACAAGTTATATCGAATTTTATTGATAATTTTGTTATGTTGACTCGAGATTAACGGCAATCGATAATTGTTTCGCTTTAACAGATTTTACGCGGATGAATTTTCTGTGCTGATAATACAATTTAATACGAGTTTTTTCCTTTTAATTTTAAAGATTCTGGAATACGTCAATGGTTCTAAATTTTTTATAGTGTATATTTTGATTTTATATTGAATTATATATATAGTCTGATCGTGCCTCAAGTCATTTAAATCTTGATTTTCTAACGTGATAAATATTTCAAAGTTTTTCTCAGTTCAATAATTGATACTGTAATTTTTATTTCATATTAAATCAAGGAGATTGTGTGAGATGATATAAATTATTATATAGACTGTTTATATATCTAAGCAAAATTCTTGCAAATTCTTTTCTCGCTCACTCGACAAATATCTCGCAAATTATAATTAACGGATTTCATAAATAAGGATTTTTCATCTTCTTATAATTCTGGTGAAACAGATTTCACGCGGATTGTTCGATCACGCAATTTTCTTATTCCTTGGTAAAAAGCAATTGAAATTTAAACAGTTGAAATCACGCACAAGCGATCGGACAAGCTGTGCAATTTTATCGTTATTTTGACCTCACGTTTCTGAATTCTTTTTTTTTTTTTTTCTTATCCTTAGCCTTCGTGTTCATCACGAATCCATCGATTGAAAAGTCATGCGATTTAGGAACGAAAATGAAAAGAAATATATATATATATTTGCATATATTAACGATATGCATGTCGTGAAAAACTTTATTTCTTTTTTTACCTTAATATACCTATAATGTATTATAATGTAATGTATTGTTGAGTCGCTATGGCAGCGTATAATTATATTATCATTAACATGACGAAAGAAATATCCTGAATGACGTACATTATTTTTCACGAGAATCTAGATTTAATGGGCTGTTTTGTTAATAGAACGTTCACGATTTATAAATAGATAAATGTTCTCAATGATTAATGAATTCTAGAAAATTCATGATAACGAATATTCTCGTCTTTTCTTCGTTCATTTTATTTTAACCTAAATTATTTTTGTACGAATATTTAAAGTATATAATTATAATTTTTTTATTATTTACTTGTGAAAAGTTTTTTTTCACGATGATTTCATTATGTATTTCAAAAAATATTGTATCTATATAAAGATTCAAATAAATTTTTCCAAATTTATTTATTTCTTTTTAGGTGTTACAATCAGCAGCACTTGAAATTTAACGAGCAATTAATATTGAACATCAATCAATTAGATTATCTTTTTTATTAACAAAATTATTCTGTTTTAAGAGAAATTTTGAAGTTATATCATTTTCTTTTTTTATTTCCACATGTAATAGTTCTTCAGAAACTTTTATATATAATATTATAAATCAATTTTATCAACAATGTTGTTAACAATGATAATATGCAGTATTGTTTCATTGCAAAAATATTTTCAATGGAATGGAAATATACTTTTCAAATAAAGTATTCTATGTGTGATAAATTGATAAAAATTATAATTATACAGATATGTTATCTTAAAAAAAATTTTATGCAATTAATTTTTAAAAAAGATACTTCGAAAAATAAAAATCGCAGTTACAAATAGAAAATTTTCACGATATAATAAAATAATATATTCAATTATTCATGATTTTCTATTAAAAAAAATTCTTATATCTCATTCTTTCACATACGAAACTTTGTATTGAAATGTATACAATCATTGTATAAAAATTTAAATCGATAAATTTGGATGTTGATCTAAATATAAGTAAAAAAATACAAGAAAAATAATTTGTACTGATAGTATCTATTATTTCTCTTTCCAGATACGTGATGTACATACGTGATATGGATTTAGATGACCATGACTCATTTGAAATCGATTTCCTCTGCTGCCCTCAAAAGGACGCGTTTTATATTTTAAGAACAACACTGTTCTTATTCTTCCATTATTCGATTCTTTTTTTTTTTCTTTTATCTGTTATCGATTCGTGTTATCGCCATTTTCATTTTCAAAATCAACAGAACCCTAAGAAAAGACAGCAAAACGGTAACTGGTATTGTCGAATCTTGTCACGCAGACATTTTGATACTATCACGAAATGACTCAATCCATACAAAGCAGATGCAGAGAAAGGTGCGAAAGAAAGAGTAAGGATTTTTATTTGCAAATAAAATCTAAATTGACCCGAAAAATTAGAAATTATAATTTTTGTTAATTTTTTTTTTAAATAATTCTTATTCACAGGATTTATTAAATTATAATAATATATATATATATTTATGTAAAATGATAAAATAAAAGGATCTAAAATTTTTAGAATCTTTAATATTCACTGAGAATAGTAAGAAATATTAAATGTTAAACAATGTTATATATTAATACAAACAGAGAAGGAATATTTTGTAATATTTCTCCTTCTTTTCTTCAACTAGGACACATAAAATAATTTGTTTAATTTCACTTACTTACGTGACAAATAATTATTTTAATTATCCGTAAACAATTTATCTATAATTGAAATTATGAAAATGCACTTCGTCCTATTTTTATCCCTAGAATTTCATAGTTTTTAGCATTTTTAGGTCGAAGAACTCTCACCGAAAATGGTGAGACTATCGATCGAACAGTGCACGAACTTTTACCCTGCTCGTGTACACGTATAGCATATGTAACGATTCGAAGGAATACACGTTTATCGTATAATTGATTTTCTAACCACTCGTTTAAATCATCGTACACAGTCCCGTCACGTGCCTCTCTTTCTTCTCTCTCTCTCTCTCTCTCGAATCTTCGAATTTCTCCATTTAATCAGTTTAAGAAGAAACTTTTAAATTTTCTAAACGCTCACATCCGTTTAGAATGCGAATTTCAAAAATGCAAAGTAATTTACAAAAAGTGCAACAATTGTACTCGTTACGTTTTGTTTTTAAATTAAAATTAATACGTACAATTCCATCTCCTTCTTAATATTTAATTTTTCTTTTTTGAATGAATAGTATATTTTGAATAACTTTGTATATCAATATTTTTATAGAAACAAAATTTATCTGCTTTTGTTTTTTATATCATTTCTATAAATTCACGTACATCTAGATATTGTACGGCACGTAGGGAAAACGTGACAACAATTCAAACGTCATCTTCTTTTATTCAAACGAAATTTTTGAATAACGCTTGCAAGCACGCTTTCAAGATATGAAAACAATCGTAATACAC